CTGCTGATTTTCCGTGGAAGGATGTGCCACAGCAAAGGGCAAGACTGAGGGCTGGTCGGAACGAAGGTGCAAAGCAGTGCTGGACAGCCTCCTGCACGAAGCCAAGCTGGAGTTTCAGAAAGCAGCCCACATTCCCTCTGGGAGGGGACGGTCTGCACTCTCCCCATTCCCTGTATGCCAGGCTAGTTTCTAGAGGCTCTTTCAGAGAGGGCTGAATTCTGCTGCCTCTCAAATCAGGTGAGATGAGGGCATGGAGCTGAAGGGAGGATGACAGGAGTGAAAAATCAGAGCTCAGCACTGACACTCATCTTTGTATCGGTGACTCTGACACTTCCTCTAAAGCAGCAATGCACAGCCCAGGAGGAAACGCAGGGTGTTTCTGTGGTTTCACCCCTGCCCCTCAAACATACGTCAGTTTTTGGTTTACAGTATCTTCTGGAAAACCACTGCCACCTGCCACAATCCCCTCTCCTCCCCATAAGCAAGAGGCCTCGTGTTGACGTTACCTGATCAGATAAAGCTCGTTGTTCCAGGGATAGACATTGAGGACCGGCCCAACTCCGATCATGTGGTTGTGACAGTCTCCCACGTTCTCAACGTACTCGTGCTTCAAGGGCACCTTGCTGAGCAGCTCGAATTGATCGGGGGCTTGCTGGAGAACCTGCTCTGCTGCGTAGAAACCATCCACCAGCAGCGTCCGCCCGCCCGTGCCCTCGTGCTTCAGGCAGTGAAACACTTGGATGCTGCATGGGAGAGAGAATCCAGAGCACAAGAGAAAAGACCTTGGCTGCCTGGCCTGTGGAGAGAAGGTGCTCCCCGCGGACCCAGACAGATGCAGATGGCTGCACCACCCTTCTCTGACGGTTCTGATGTACTTATTTGTAATACAACTCATTTCACTAAGACCTGCCAGGGAACGGAGACAGACCAGCAAGAAAAGGCTGTACCTGCCGCTTCTTCAGGCCCAATCTCACACACGTCGCTTTCCAAGAAGAGGGCTACTGCCCATACTGCCTCCCAAATCGAGTGACGGGAGCCTGAGACTTCAAGTGGTGCAGGATCAGGCCTGTGGCACTCAAAGTCCATCCAGGCAGTAGGATGCAGATGTGCAAAAGCACAAAACTATCTTTGCTAGAACATCTCGGAACAAGAGGACAGTTAAAGAAATGCTGGTTGTACTGCTGAGGTCTCCAGGAACTACAAGGGGAGTCCAGGGCGGCTCTCGCTCAAAGGCGCGTCAGGGCCTCCCACAGGCAGTCAGGGGAAGCCCTTCACAGCCCCACGTTAAAGACCCTTTGGAAAGCCTGCAGCAGGAGTCTCCAGTGAGAAGTCTGCCTACAGGGACACCCCCTCCCTAGCGGGAAGCCATCCAACTCGGCTTTTGTCCTGCTATTACTCCTCTGAAGCTGCTCTGTCCCTTCATCCAAGCAAGGCAGGCATTGGACTGTTAGGAACAAATACCCAGGAGCTGCCCCGAGCCACCTACTCCCAATTTTCACAGTGTACCAACTTCACTTGTCAGAAAATTGTGACCTTCTGGGAAAGCCCTTATCTTCTGATCGCCCTTCGGGGCCTCTTAACCCAGTCCCACAGCAAGTGATGAACAGCAAGTGATGAGGCAGGACCTCCCAGCTCCACCCTCACCAGCACTTTGCACCTGGGTGCTCCAGCCACCCCTACATCCCCAGCGGTTTCAGGGCAATTTTACGAAGTCAGTCCACAAGCACTGGAGCAAAGGACACTTTGTGCCTCAAAGGCAACAACCTCCTCCTGCAGCCCAGGGTGCTGAGGAAGCCTCTTCTCAGGGCAGGCTCTTTGGTACCCAAGCGAGATAAGGTTGCAGTCTTTCCCATAGCTTGGGGAGCTTCCATCCTCTACCCTTTGCAATAATTGGAGACTTGTCAGATTTGGCTGATTTCAGCCAAAGCAGCGGGGAAAGCAGACATTCAAATGAACGTATCTTTCTGGAAAAACACCTCATTTCCTTCAGAAGCAGGTCGAAGGCTGTTTCAAGTGTTTCAGAAGCAAGTCTGAAACAGCCTGGGAAGAAGGGATTTCTGGCAGAGATGGGGACTCAGGAAAGCCAGAAATTCACGTTCTTCCTGCACAACTATGGTTTTGCAGAATTGCAAACATTAATGGCTAGCCCGACTAACGTAGCCCATGCTATCATTGCTTGGTATACTTTGGTTGGCTGCAGATGAGAATACACCTACCTGGAGGGAACCCTTCCAAGTGGAAAAGAAAGGTATAAAAATAGCTAATGAGCTCTATAGTTCTGGCACCGAGCAGTTTACTCAAAGCTCTTTTGTAGGCTGAAGTTGTGATTACTAATTTTTATTTGATTTTGGGGAAGATTTTGTGAGCTCCTAAAACGACTCAGCCCAGCAGGTAACACTGCACAGGTCACGAACGCACACGGGTTCTGCAGTCAGCCCTTCACTGGGAACAGGGAAGCCAAGCAGATCTGGCTTGAAGCATGTGCCGCTTTATGTGTACGCTTCTAGCTCCACGGAGCACCCTAAAACCCTCTTACCAAGCTTCCTGCTGGCTGGGCACAGACAGCAGTGCTCAGGGTGCCACCTGGGTAAGGCTACCCACCCTTCCTGCTCCTAAATCTGCATGCAGCCAACAGATCTCACCCCTTCATCCTCTGCTTTCAGGGCTCTGCACCACAGACCTTCCCCATCAGGATGTTTAGCAAGTTAACAGCCTCACTTGGGAAGAGCTAATCCTGCCCTAGGGCAGGAGGCGGGGACCGGAGGACTTCTCTCTGTAGCCCTTGCTCCATAAGGGATCACAGTACTTCCATCCGCTCTCCTCCAGGCCATTTCCCAATGATTCCCCTCTTGATTGAGATGAAAGCAGACAAAAAAAAAGTTAAGCTAGAAATTAAGCTTAAGTCTCTTGTGCTTCATTGTGAACCATGATCAGGGCTGCTGCCTTTCTTTCTCCAGCCCCCCGTAAAACTCACGGCCCAGAGGCTACATCAGAAAGGCAGTTTGCAAACTAGCATTTGGGCAACAACACTGTAGCTACAAACTGCTTTTAAAAGCACAGACAGGTGTGAACTCCGAAGGGCTGGGGAAGCCTGGTTTCTGCCTACCTACAGGGCTGCGCCACTGCCAAAATGCAAACCCCAGCCTGCTTGCACTGAAGCAGAGCGACTGCACGGAGCAAACGTGAGCAGAGCACGTAGGACAGCCACCACGCGCAGCTTGGGAGCGCAGAGGCAGTCACTGCGGGCTGCTCTCCCACCTTCCCCACAGCGTACCGCTGACCCAGCTCACAGCAAAACAAAAACCAAACAGCGCAGATGTGGGTGCGGAGGGCTTGCCCCGGGTCAGCAGGATTACGCCGAAGCAAACTTTTGCAGTGACTTTGTACAACAGCTGATAAGGGGCGCTTGCTGCAGGAGGAGCCTCGCCTCGCCAGATGTACGCAAAAGACAAATCAAATCAGCGGCTCGTTTCTGCGAGGCTGAATGCTGTGTGTCGCTTTGGAGACCAAGGAGGGTGATTTCAGAAGAGACTGTCAGATAAGCGCCAGGGTAGCACAAAAATGACTACAGCGCTGAGCCTTCTCTGTCGCTACAAAGACTACTTGGACCGCAGCAATACCAAGCAGCAGCCGGCTAGCTAATGGCCGAGTCCTTCACTGCCTGCTTTCTGGAAGACCTAGACATTTCAAGCATGGGAAAAATTGATCTGCAGACCACCCCACTCCACAGGGATCCGACAAGACCCAGAATCGCTGTGTGACCAGCAGAAGTACATCCCATCAGCAGCACTGGGGACAACGAAGCCTAAGCCGCTAGAAACAGCATCACTGGGAGTCACTCCTGCCTCCTGCACCGTGCGTCTGTGAACCAGCAAAAGCACTTACCCGCAGGGCTCCTGGAAGTAGGTTGTGTCGGTGTGACGATCCAGAGCCAGCTTGGTGTAGGCGGTGTCTCCCCGCGAGAAGTCGGAGGTAAAGTACCACATTCTACCGTAAATGGTCTCCCTGCAACAGAGGTGGGCAGTTACGAGGCTCTGCAGGGATCAGCGTGGCGGTAAAGCAGCTCCTCTCTTGCGTTGGAGGTACAGGGTAAATTAAAGCAGAACACCTTAACAAAATTCACATTGTCAAGAGATGCTGCTTCTAGTGCCTCCTCTAGCATTCAACGTCTCTCTTCCCTCCCCAAAAGACCGACGGCATGAGTCTTGCTTCCCCTCCACAAATACAGATCTTTCCACACCAAACATCAGTCCCTGTCAAATCAAGGCAGCCACTGAGCGACCCGAGGAGTTGCCAGAGCGCAGCCAGCCCTTGTTGTACCCAGCGCAGGGTTACCCAACAACCCTGTTTCTCATTCTTAGGGTCCTGCGTTTTCACCCACCTCCCCCCTACACCACGCACGGAAGGGAACAGATGGAAGGCAAGGACAAACAGTAGTCAGGGGCTGCAGGGTGAGGGTACCTGGAGAAAAAAGTTGGCTGGATATTCCTTGGAGCCCCTCATTTCTGTTTGGAGTGACTATTCATTAAGAGAAACCCCTCCCTTCCAGTGGCCCGAGGCAAGTTAAACTGTTTCTGCAGCTTGGATAAAACTTGAAACTCAAACCCTGGCTGGCCATGCTGTTGGTGTGTTTTAAACAAACACAGAAGAAACATTTCTCAATATTTTTCTTTAGCGAGAGCTACAAATTGTTTTTGATATCCCTGGCTCCCAGGGCCAGGGCTGCCCTCCTAACCTTTCAAGTCATAACAGGATGTGTCCGTCCTTGCAAAGCTCTGCTCTTCCCACACAGGCTGCTTCCTTCAGCCACTCCTCTCTCCACGCAGTCCCACTATCACAAAAGTCACCCTGTGCTCCTGAGGCGGCTCCATAACCCGGCGACTCCAGGCTCTCCGCAAAAAAGAGGTCAGATCCCGCAGTGCAATACTGCATCTCCGTTCAAGCGGACTGGCCAGAGACTGTAGAAGTCCCAGCCCTTTTGTGTGCAAACCAGGCCACGCTGCACAATATACAGGGATAAGAGGGCAGCACCTTTCCAAACAAAAAGAAAATAGCAGTCTACCCTTCACGGCTCCCCTACAAAGCTGCCAGTGCCCTTCCCAGGGCAGCCCTAGTTACCTGATTAAGCTGATCCTTTCCGCTAAGATTTCCGTGTCCTCTTTGGTGGGAGTGACGTTCTCTACAAAAGCAATCCCATATAACAAGAAGTTTTGCAGGAACTCCTTCAGCCCCTCGTCTGTCTCCAGGAAACTCCGGCAGTCGACGGATGGGACCTGGGCTTGGCGGTAGATTTCTGCGTTCCAGAGAATCCGCGGGTGCATGACCTGCTGCTTCTGCCCCTCGTAGCTGTTCTTCACCAGCCACTCCAGCCCATACCGCGTCACGTGCCCGTCGGGCCCTTCGACAAGGGAGAAGGGTCACAGTCACCGCAATCGCACCGAACAGCCCGAGATCGTGGTCAGCGCAACCATCAGGACAGTCCTCACCCTTTCAATTTTGTCTGGTGACAGACTCTTTGCACCCTGATGCCACCCAAAACATTATCTGGTTAAGGCCACAAGTCCTAAAAAGCGCTGTCATTGCTGCAACAACTGCAAATTCAGAGTGAAGTGTTTCAACCTCAGTGGTTTTGTTTTCTATTGACAGGACTCCAAGGAGAAGTAAAGCACCAACGACAAGGCCATAAATAAAGGTAAGCTCCAACAAAAGCAAGAAAGCAGCTGGGAAGCTGAGGAGAAAGGATAGAAAATGCGAATTCTGACCAGGGATACCAGCTCAAATAGGACAGGGTAAGGAAAAGAAAACCAACCACTTCTTGACCAACCTGTTGACTCCCTGCATTGCTGCGGTGTTCAAACTGACCAGTGAAATACCCAGACACTGAAGACACACACATCTCTACCCAAAAAGCGGGAGGAAAAACAGACACAAATTTAAGTCTGCAGCACGTTTACAGTGACAGCGCTGCTCAGAAAAGCAGTGTTTAAAATCTGTTTACAGCTAAATCTCTTCCTGAAACAGCTACTGATTTAGAGATAAGGCTGCCCTCTCCCAGCAAACCTAAGGATGGGATCCATCAACGAGGCTCCCTCCAAGCAGGGCTGGCAGTCCGCAAGACACGCGGGGTACAGTCACTTTGCTACTTACACGTGAGGAAGAACGTGGTCTCATCCACTCAGACAGCCTTGGGTTTGATTCTCA